GAAACAGGACCGGGTTAGTTGCCTTGTCCAACAACATTTAAAAAAAGTAAAACAGTACTGTTCAAAAGTTCAGAATCAGCCGTGACATTGATCTTTCTGTTGGCAGCAACAACAGGGAACCCAAAGATTAAATGTTCCGTCCAATGTCGAGTTCCCCACAGTTCTGCAGGAGAAGACGTTTCGAACTTGGATTTTTAATCCAAGTAAACTTCAACCATTATTAAAGCACAAAGGTACGATTATGCTATGAATATTAAGGGAAGCCTTTTTTTCCTTTGGGCCCCAAGCAGCGTATTCACTGTTGAGGTTGAAGAGGATTAAACTGTGATTTTCCAGACGATCAAAATCTAATGATGCTAATCCTAGACTAAATCTCTTTCTATTTGGAAGTTTGAAGAAGTGCTTTGCTAAAGCAACCAATTACCTTCATTCCAGATATTTTAGGGATTATTGTGCACCCGACACTGAGGAAAAAATGTTTTGCTGCTCCTAATATAAACATCATTTCACTTCGCATAACAGAATCGTTTCTGGTCTACCGCTGCCTCGATAGGTTAGTTGTGTGACTTTGGTGACTTTAAAAACACTGAAGCTGCACATCAACAAATAACAAATGAAGACATTGAGGTATCAATAAAGCAGCAACCTCCATGTTTAAAATAACAGTTTTTCTCAATAGAGTTTGGTGGCTTTAAAAAGAGCTAAGACGTATATATAAGCTTTGTTCCTGACTGCTACTTCACACTGATCATAGTACCTTATACAACCTCACTTCTAAAAGACCTCTGTTAATATGCTCATCTATGATGCTAAGCTTCTTTAATCAATGACTGCTGATTTGTTTCTATTATTATTTAACAGTGGTCAGAGGGTCCTTCTCTTGCTGCCCTTTACAGCATCAGTCTGGTTGAACTATTGCACAGTGTTTTAAAGTAGCTTGTTCCACAACCTAAAAGCGTGAACAAGCACTAAAAAAAAGAAAGAATTGTCCTCTTAGACATCTGACTGGACCTAATATAGCTTGGTGGCAGCAGATTCCCAATTTCTAAACAGTTATGTATACAAACAAACACAAATGAACTAAATGTTAATGTTTTACATACATCCATGGTGCGCCCCAGGGCGTGTCTCTGTGCTACTTCCTGGTCCTGCTTGGTCTTCATTGCAGCCAGTTCTGCCTCCAAATGCTCCACCTTGTTGTTCAGTCTCTGGCGAGTCTCTGTCTCTGTACGCTCCATCGTCAACTACAGCCGTTTGAGAGAGGAGGAGGGGAAAAGGAGAAGTTGTTCGAATAACATGAATGTTTGCACCATGGAGGCGTAACAAATGAATGTTTTATAGTGTCAAAGCAACTTCATGAACTTCTGCCATCAAACAGTAACATTTCATTATACCACTACTAAGTCATTGCTTTACATCATAAATGAAGGCTTATTGCGATAAAGAAATAAGGAGAGAGGTGAAAGGTCTGAAGGGTCCTCTGAGAATACCAAGCGTCCCCTGTTCTGGTACCTGTATGGTCTTCAGATTGGTCAGCAGCAGGTTCTGGTTGCGTTGCTCCACCAGAATGGATTCCTTCTCTCTATTGAGTCGACTCTCTGCTTGTCTCAACATGTCTTTTTCTTTCGTCAAGTTCTCGACACGCACCTGCAGACACAGAGGGGAAATAAAGTAATCCGGTTATTACTGGGAGACAGAAAGGTTTAAGATGGTAACACTTTTTCCTGGTGCGTTATGTTTACGCCAGGGCTGTGCTGGCGATGCTACTTTCAAATGGTGATAGTTGGAACAGTAGAAAGAATACAACATAACCTTTTAGATGGGTTTGATTTTGTTTATGATAATCAGCAAATTACATTTTATTTGTCTTCGAGCAGTGCGTATTCATATAAATTATTTATGTTTGGCTCATCAATAAATGGTTAAAATTGTCAAAATCCCTGCTACATGTGATCTATTGTATAGTCACTTTGATTAAGCGTGTGACATAAAGTGCCGAAAATTAGCGTGTTATGTTTCTATCACTTCCATTGCAGCTGGATCTGATAAATAAAGGGACAAATAGTAAATGTGTTTTGGGGGGAGTCAATTCTAATCGTGTATTTTCCAGTTGAAGAAAAAAAGCCAGATGTTCTAATTATCTTGAAGATAATTAAGCTTCTCCTCTTGCTCACCTCTTCCAGCGCCAGTTTCTCGTTACCCTGCCGCAGGTCCTGGCTCATGGTGTGGATGATTTGCTCGTGCCGTTGGGCAGTGGCAGCCATCTTTTGGTTCCTTTCCTGTAGAGCGGAGATCTCTCTGCGTTGGGCTGACACGGTGTCCTGGAGCATCTCGTACCTGACATACAAAGAGACAAACAGAACAAACACAGTGCATCAAAAACACCTGCGAGGGCTGAAATAGGAGGCTGGGGCCGTAGTAGCATGGACTTGGCAAACCTCTTGCTGCTGAACTCAAGTTGAGAGGTGAGTTTGGCGTGACTGGAGCGGAGATCATTGAGCTGCTTCTGCAGCCGGTCGTTGGTTTCATTCAGCAACCTGTCGTTCTCTGCCTTCTCCTTCTTATACAGAATGAAGGCGTCATTCAGCTGGAGAAGCAAACACATCTGGTCAGAACACTTTTCAGGTATTCCCATCGGATGCAAACCAACTTTCTTGGTGCGGCCCGATTACAAATGCAGTCAATGCAAAGACATGGATTGACGCAAAATCGCTTTTCACTAATTGCTATCACTATGTGGTTTTTTCCACACAGTCTTTTCATACATTTAATGCAAAACAATCTTAGCAAAATATGTTCATTTTGGCTTCATATCACTTTAGCAAACAAGATGTATGCGCCAAGTTGTGATGTTAGAGACAGCTAGTACAGTACTTTTGAGCAGTTTGTTCCTCCAGATGATGTTCTAACGAGAAGAGAGTTTGTTTTCGGTAACTAAGTATTTACTCTGCATCTGTCACAAGGACAGATTACACTGCCTAACAACTTGCCTCTGGCTAGCAGAGAACTCACAGCTCCATCCTTTTTCTTTGGATAACCACACTTTTCTTCACACTGTACATTTATATTTAATTAAATATGATATTCCTTGCACACTACTTTTACATTTTGTTTGGTAATTTGGCCCTTCATTTATTATTGCGCTATTCTTCAGATTCTTATCTTTCACTGTCTACATGTATATATTTTACTCTTTAGTACCGTTTGTGTTTATTTTCTACTCTTAAAATGTCACATTATTTATTATTATTTTTAATTTGGATCAATAAAGAAAATCTTATCTCATTATCTTTATCTAGTTTGATTGACACAAGTAATCACAAATAATGCAGAGGTCAAATCCACAAGTAATGTGAAATGTTGCTTTATGTATGTATGTGTGTGTGTGCGTGCGTGTAGGTGTGTGTGTTGGGGATGCGAGCAATTATTCAATTTTTCGAATATTCGTTACAGTCTCCATTATTGAAAATAATTTTTTTTAATTCGATTTTATTTATATATATTTTTATTATTATTTATGTTTTTCTTTTTTTTCCTGGCTTTCAACCAAAATATAGACTAATGCTAATAACAGCAATAGTCTTAATAATTGTAAATGGCCATTGGTCACACCACCAGTTTGTTTTACTGTAAACTTGGAGGAAGCCAGCAGCGCAGGCTGCGCAGAGTGCAGCAGTCTGCGCAGCCTAATCGATTAATATTCGCCAGGGCTGTCCGATTTTAAAATCTGATCATGGTCAGTTTCTGGCATCCCTATTGTGTGTGTGTAGGTGTATGTGTGCGTGTGTGTGTAGGTGTGTGCACGTGCAGGTGTGCATACCTGTTTTAAGGCAGCTTTAGTCTGAGCAGTCTGTGCTGACTCAGCAGCAGCAACTCTCTGAGGAGTAGAGCGAGTAGCAGGAACTGACGGCCTAACAGGTGCAGGTTGAGAAGGAGAATCCAGACCTGCAGACACACATGACCTCATTGTAAAAACAGTGACACGTTGAGAAAGAGACAAGAAGTGTTAGCATCTCCCTGTGACCTTGGGGGGGCAGGCTGAAGCCGGTGCTCTGAGTTAGCAGGGCCTTGTACATGTCCCTCTGCCGGGCGTTGGAGTCAGCCAGCTGTTTCTGCTGGTTCCTCTGCTCCCTCAGCTGCTCCACCTCCTTCTGAAGCTTATCCACACTCGCCTCCAACTCGGACACACTAGAGGGAGCCACAGAGACAGAGCTCAGTTTAAAAAGGAAATATCTTTACTGCTCACCAATGCTGCATTTCACCTGATCTACTGTATGGCAGGAATACACAGCTCAACATGTGCATGGGTGGCTTTCATTCATGTGTAAACGATGACAGCATTTGAATGCATTTGTACAGAAGAATACAAATTTACACACAATCTAGCTATATTGAAAAATATAAGAATATGCTCTATAATCAAATAGAATATTCAGTTTCTGTATATCAGTGCATGTCTTCCTTTATGACGTTTGCTCACTTCTCATTTATTTTATTCTGCCGATTTGTCGCTGGTTATTGTAGGTAATGTCCGTTTTTTGGCTCTTTTTTTTTTTTAAACTCTTGTATTAGCAAATTAAGTTCATCAAGAGATTATACTGATAATATCTATGATTTTATTACTACTTTATGTTGTTTAATTCCTAAAATAAAGAGCTTCCTCCTCATAGAGCATCAACTCAGCCACTCTTTTCTTGCGCACTATCTGATAAAAACATAAAATAATTAAATTTGCCTTTGTATATCTAAATCACGCATCTTACTTTATGTTACCTGCAAGTCACCTTAGGCAAACACTTTGCCATTAGTAGGTCAGTTGTTGTTGAATAACAGCGCTTCTTACCGTGCTGATGTGGCTTGGCTCTTCTGGAGGTCCTTCTCCTCCTCCAGCTCCCTCAGCCTTCCCAGCAGGCTTTGGTTCTGCTTCTGCAACTCCTCCACGCTGCGGAAGGACAGCGGACTGGTGACTTCCGAGGGGCTGGAGAAGTTAGAGGAGCTGCCGTCGTCCTTGGTCACCTTGTTACCCCTAGCTTCCTCCAGCTGCACCAGAAGAGTACACACCTGGAAGAGAGACACAGTTATGAATGAAATCCTCTGCACCAATCAGCAGAGATCTCCTTTCGTTACAGACGTAACACTCTCTGCTTTATATCATGAGCAATGATAACATGTGCCACATCATATCTGCCAGCTTTTCTTTTGTACCGTTACAGTACTGCTCTTCAGTGTACCGTTTGTCTTTGTTCTTTTTACTGCATTGTTAGTGTTCATTGTTATTATTAATATTATTGTTACCATTATTATTTTTATTGTATCTTTTGTCATTCTCGCACAAGAATTTCCTTCGGGATGAATAAATTCTCATCTTGTGTTTTACATTTAGTTAGTTCATCTGTTTGTGAGAAGTGTTAAGTTATTTTTAAGCTAATTTGTATCTATGAATATATATATATTTATATTAATATTAGGGCTGTCAGTCGATTAACTGTGTACAATCATGCGATTAAATATTTTAATCGCACATTTTCTAACTGTTCTAAATGTACCTGAGAGCAGTGGTTCCCAACTTTTTTTCCCAAGAGCCCCCCCAAATGACTCCTGTTGGAAGTTGTGCCCCGCCACACATAAGGGGGGGCACTGCGGTAATTAAAGTTTCAAAGTCTCAAAATGCTACAACTACTGTCACAAACTGGATGAATGTGAAGTATTTTGTTAAAGGAGGATGAAAGCGTAATTAAGGAGCACTATTGGAGTGACTTTGATGGTTATTGGACTCAGGATTAATTCATTTGGATGCCCGCTGTATGAAGAAATTAAAGGACGCCGCAAGTGGAAACAATTCACAAAGGGATTAAAGTGTTTAAAACACATGCTCAAAGTAAGCCGGATTTTGCCGATGTGCTTATGTGGATTCAAAAGTCGTAAATAATCTACAAAATGGAGGAGACCGATCTGTTCTAAATGTTCCTTAGAGGAATATTTTTCAAGTTTTTAATACTCTTATCAACAGATGAGTGGACAAATATGCTTTATGCAAATGTTTATTATCTTCTCATGTGTGGACCTTCTCTCTGTGTCAATACTTACTTTAGGAGACGTGGTTAGTCGTCTCTAGAGGAAAGCAATGTCTGCATTGTGAGAGACGAAATATAGTACTCGTTACTATTGTACACGGTGTAGTATAGACGGTCGAAAAGAAAACATGGCAATGTCATGACGAGAAGTCACATGGCAAACAGAAACAAGAAAAATGACGTAACAATCACAAGTAACAATAATAATTATAATAACAATGGTAATAATAAAAATAACATAGAAAACAGTAAGAGCGTGTTCTTAAAGGAAGCCCTACTTATTTAAGAGTAGAACACAAAATGTAAATCAATCAAGTAGACAAACACTCTTCACAATTCAATAAAAATTCGATTAAACATAGATACTTATATATATATAAATATAATTATAATCCCGACAGTCAGCTAATTGACACATGTTAGTACGCTAATTTATAAAATTAGCGTGTAAAAGATTGACAAGATTTACATGGACTCTCGTCACCAAGGGTTGAAAAAAAGGGTTCTCGGGGGGGTTTACTGAGGACAACCTTCAACACGGGGCGGTGTGTATTCCCCCCCGTGACGCCATTAATTTCAAAGTTTCAGAGTTTTACGATGTTGATGACAGTGTTTGACCTACTTACACTTCATAAAACAATTTCCTCCTACTTTCGCATTAATTCCTCGTGATAACCTCACTGAAACTACCAATAACCTGAGTCCTAATTAAGTAAACCTACGGGCGACATACTTCTTTAATTTCCTGCGGCGTTCACCTTTGTTAAGTGTTTCCCTAATTTCACAAATTTTGTGTACGAGTTTCATTCGGCCTAAAACGGCTACACGAATACACCTAAGTTTTCAGCATTTATTAGATGTTTTACCTCCTCTGGCTAGACAAGATTTACAAGGAATCTCCTTATAAAAAGTTCAAAAATTATGAGAATAGTTGTCTACTCACCTGTTTATACGAAATACGTTTACAAATAATAGTAAACTTGTTACCTGTTTATCCAAGGGAGTACTTTATGAATTTTGTGAGACTTATAAACATTACAAGTCTCCACCAAATTATATAGTACTTTATAAACAGTACAGTTTATATTATTTGGG